CAGCAGCAGCAACAACAACAACAACCCGTCGCCTTCGTGGCCGTCTTCCCGCGGCTCGCCCAGGAGACAGCTCCACCTGGCTTTTTGGAGCCCATTTCGGCCTCCGAGCCCCGTCGCTTGCCGCGCCGACGAGCGGCTCTGGCCGCCGAGCGGGGCCGAGACCCCGCCGCCCTTCTGCGGACAGAGCCCCTGCGGATGCACAGGCCCAGGGTCGGCCTGGGGGAAGGGCCTTGGGATAGGCCTAGCGGGCCTTCGGGATAGGCCCAGGAACGGGCCCAGGGGAAGGGCCTCGGCGTGGGCATAGGGTAGGCCTAGGGGAATGCCTCGGGGCATGCCCAGGGTAGGCCCTGGCGGCCGAGTGGGCTCAGACGCCGAGCGCGCTCAGGAAGGAGGCTTGGGGCGGGCCCTGGGAGACACGGGCCGGTCTTCACCGTGCTCTGGCTCCTTGGGACCTCCCAGGTGCTGCGGGACCGTCGACAACAAGACTCGGGGCGAGGAGATGTCGGGGACTCCCAAGCGGCGCGGTGACCACACCGCAGTGGGGATTCGGGGTCACCGCGCGGTTTTGGGATTCGGCTCGTTCTCTGAGGACGTCTCGGATGATTGGGGCCTCCATGGCTCTAACACCGTGCGGTGACGGAACGCGCGGTGAGGTCTCTTAGGGCTTGGAGGCCGTGAGGCTCCTTCGCCTTTCTCCTCTCTAGGGCGCTCCAGCAGAACCGACTATCTTCAGGCACGGCGAGTGGATTTGTATCGGCATAGGGCTTCCGCGCCGTAGGGCGCGAAGCTGTTCAAACCTGCAAGTTGCAGCTCGTCAGAGCCCCCCCCGCCCGCGGACTCGAGCGCCTTTGACCCCATCGACCTCCAGTCGAGGTCGCCCAGACGTTCTCTTAAGAGTGGCTGCCTGCTGGCGAGGTTATTGCAGATAACACCGTCGAAGGAGCGGCGCCAAGAATCCGGCATCTCTCCCCTGGTGGCGCAGCCCACGGCTTTTGTGAACAGCGGGCGTCGGCGCCACGCTGGCCGATTTTGACGCACAGCCATTTTGACGCTTGAGCTTCAGGGTGGGAGCAGGGGAACGAACGATGACATACACGCAAAAACGCGGAGGCCCGCGCGGATTTGTCGGATCGGCGCTGGACTCCCCTGGCGGCGCCTCCGTCGCCGCCCCTGGCGCGCTCCGCGTGCCAGGGAAGAGGCCCCAGCGCCGATCCGAGAAATTCGCGCGGACCTCCGAGTTTTTATGTTTATGTCATTGCTCAGGAGGAGAGAAGACACACACACACACACACAAGTAGTGTGTGTGTGTGTGTGTGTGTGTGTGTCCCAGGGCCCCTTCAATTAGTCGTTCCCTTAATTTTGGCGCTCGAGCTCAATGGCGGCTGGGCGCCGAACGCCCGGGCTGCCAGCTGCGGCTGCCGAGTCCGGCTGCAAGCGGGTGCCCCAAGAACACGATTCGACTCCGCAATCGCTCGGGGCGTGCCTTTTTGGCTGTTGTTCCCGGCGAGGACCACCCAGGAGCATCTTGGGCCACCGTGCAAACATCCACCTCCTCCTCCCTCTTTCCTCCTCCTCCCTCCTCCCTCCTCCTCCCTCCTCCTCCTCCTCCTCCTCCTCCTGCTCCTCCCTCCTCGTCATCCTCCTCCTCCTGCACAGGGGGAGCCCCCGTGGGTTCTGGGCACCGGGGTGGACTTGGGTTGCCAGTCCGCCCCGACAGTTGCTCAGCCCCACCCCTCCCCCCGCGATCGTGGGCGGAGGAGGTGAGGTGCTGCTGCGGCTAGGTGTGCAACGCCACATCAGGGCCCAGCACCTCTTTCAGCGTCGGCAGCGTCCTGCCGTCTCAGCGGCCCCACCCGCGGCCGCTGTGGAGAGCATTGGTGGCCCAGTGCCACGAGGTTTCGGGTTAGGGTCGGGTCGGCCAACCCTCAGCCTCCCTCTTAGCCAAGTGATTGTCCTCCTCCTCCTCCTCCTTCTCCTCCTCCCCCTCCCCCCTCCTTCTGCTCCTCCTCCTCTCCCCTCCTCCTCCTCCTCTTCCTCCTCCTCCTCCTCCTTCTCCTCCTCCTCCTCCTCCTCCCCCTCTCTCCTCCTCCTCCTCCTCCTCCTCCTCCTCTCCTTCCCTCCTCCTCTCCTCCTCCTTCCTCCTCCTCGTCTCCTCCTCCTCCTCGTTCTCCTCCTCTTCCCCTCCTCTCCTCGCCCTCCTCCTCCTCATCCCTCCCTCCTCCTCCTCCTCCTCTCCTCCTCCTCCTCCTCCTCCTCCTCCTCTCCTCCTCCTCCCTCCTCCTCCTCCTCGTTCTCCTCCTCGTCCTCCTCTCCCTCCTCCTCCTCCTCCTCGTTCTCCTCCTCATCCTCTCCCTCCTCCTCCTCCTCCTCCTCCTCCTCATCCTCCTCCTCCTCCTTCTCCTAGGGGGAGGAGGTGACGGAGTGGAAGAAGGTCAAGGGCCCGCTGTCGGCCTTGAAACTATCATTGAGGATATTTTCTTGGGATATGAAAGATTTCGTCACGTTGAGGAACGATTTTGATGAGGAGGTGGTTCTTACCTATATTCCTCCAGCTCTCCTCAAGGGCATGCTGTTCAGTTCTGTGCTCAGGTCTCTCGAGCGCGATGCGAGCAGCAAAGCGAACATGGATTTTCCCCGATTGTGTTTCGACGTGCCGCGAGCGAAGCTTCGGTCCAAGCGATCGACCCCGCTCGGGCGTGGATGTGTGAAATCGCTGGTCTGCGGTGCGATCTGGACTCCGAGTCGCGCGAAAGATTGCGGGTATCAAGTCTTGTCTACTAAGTGTGTTCTATGTCAGGAATGCGACGACTCGGAGTTCCACGGGCTGTGGGAATGCGCCAGTTGTCAGGATCAACGGTTGGAGATCGTTGAGCAGTCCGATATCGGCCGAGCCCTTGCAGCAGAGGGGCCCGTCGAGCAGCTACTGTACAGCCGTGGTTTGTTCGAGCACCCAGGCGACAAGCACCCTCGACCAGCAAAGCTTGGAACGTCTGACATGAAGTGGGCCGACGAAACCAGAGAGGAAGCCGACTTCCAGGGGAGCGTTTTCATTGATGGGAGCTGTAGCAGACACATCGTGCCAGAGCTTCTACGTGCGGGGTGGGGAGTTGTGCAGTTGAAAGCAGGAGGTGAGGTCGAAGGCAGGCTGTTCGGACCCGTCCCTACCCCCCTAACGGCCTCCGCCCAAACTGGCGAATTTCAGAGTTTAGCTATGGCGCCCATTCAACTGGTAGGATCTAGCGCTCGATACTCTGACTGCCTCAACGTAGCCAAGCAGAGCGAGCAGCCACGGGAGCAGCCGCTTAGCTACTTCAGGCCATATGCGGGAATGATCCAGTTTTACCACAATGGGTCCAAATGGGTGAACGGAGTTAGGACAGTCAAAGCCCATTTGGACCCGAATGAAGCAGATTTGGATTTTGACGAGCGATGGCGGCGACTCGGGAATTCTGTTGCCGACGCCGCCGTTCGCGCCGGAGCTGATATGCACCCGCCTTGGTCAGAAAGTGACGAGAAGGAACCCCCGCGACAAATTCAGATTTCTAAACAAGTATGTAATCGTGCTGCCACTCTTCTCCCGCTGTGGCCGAGGCTCGACCTATCGGAGGTCGAGCTGATCCGCCCCCCTCGTCGTGACCCGGAGAACGCTCCCAAGTTCATGGCCTGACCCCCACGTCCCTGCGGAACCTTAATCACAGTTGTTTTTTTCGCTCGAGTGCAGTGATGATGCGCTTTTCACTGTATGTCTCAGGTGCAAATGCTACTCGAGCCATGGGCAGACTCGAGGGTTGTCCAAGAGCTGCGAGAGACCCACCCGTCACACCCTGGACAATTGGAAGCTTATTGCGAGGGGCAAACATCCTAAGCGCCCAGGGGGTACAGTCGAGACGGGTCCCTGGTTTCTCCTTTAATTCATCCTCGTAGCCGTCCTTGTTAAAACATCCTCCTCCTCCTCCTCCTCCCCCTCCTCCTCCTCCTTCCTGTTCCTCCTTCTCCTCCTCCTCTTCCTCCCTCCTCCTCCTCCTCCTGCTCCTCCTCCTTTTCCTCCCTCCTGCTCCTCCTCCTCCTCCTCCTCCTCCTCCTCCTCCTCCTCCTCCTCCTCCTGCGCACGAAGCCGCAACATGCACGGGGAATGGACGTCCGAGCGAGGGCAAGGAGGTATCTGGACAGCCGTTGCACCAGTGAGCGCTGCCAGACCCAGGGTTCGCCCGATCGCGGAGTGGGGACGACGCCCCAAAGCGGAAGAGGGGCCGCCAAGTGTGTTTGGACCCGTAGCCCCATGGGACAGCTTCTTTTCTATGCACGGTTCCGCCTTCTACCGGGCTGCACCAGATCCTTTTCCCGATGATTGGCATCACCTCATTCCGATGCCGATCTTGGGGGTTCCCCACCGTTTCGGAGGACGCACCCCCCAGATTGTCATCGCCTTGGGGCTTGTCTATCTCAGGGATCGGGGGAGGCTCGAGGATGACGAGCCGTTTGTGAGCCGGGCGTGCACCAGGCAGAGAGCCCTGCACGCCCGCGGGCTGTGGGGCGGTCTGCGGCAGAACTGGACGACATTTTATCTTCGTGGTGGTCCTCCTCCCTCCCCCTCGACATCTTCCTTCACCTCCTCATCCTTCTCCTTCCCCTTCTCGTGATGTTCCTGTTATGGATGCCCCACTTACTCCTCCCTCGTCCTCCTGCTTCGCCCTTTTCTCGTCCTCTTCTCGTCTTTGCTTCCCCTTCCTCCTCCACCCCCTTTTACAATAGCCAGCGAGGAGAAAAATGCATGCTGCAGTCGATCACTCCCTCTGCTAAGAAATACTGCTGTCGCTGCTTCCGTGGGGGGGGGGGCGCGGGGTAAGGACTCTTCGTTCTCCTCGCATCTCGTCCTGCCCCGTTTGTTCTTTCCTTTCTGCATCCTTCTCCCCCCTCGCCTCTCCCCCCCTGGTCTGTAGCTATTGAGGTTCAAGGGCCAGAGACATGCAGCAGATGGGATGCTTTCGCCTGCCCTTGGGATGAATGTGGCCATTACTCCTAGCGCCTTTTCCCTGCCCGGCGCCTTCAGCTTCGAAGGGGACCCCGCCGATAAGAGGAGGCAGAAGAAGATCAACGATATAGTCACCATGTGCCTGGTGATAATCGCTTTTGTTGCCACGATGTGGCTGCTGCAGGAGTTGTCTGGCTTCTTGGTTCCCCTCGTCTTCGCGGTGTTCCTGGCGTTCCTGATGGAACCCGTCCTGAGGTGCATCGTGCTGGCGCCGCAGAGGTGTTGCCGTCGCGCCAGGCGCGCCAGGCGCCACGACGACCAGTGCCGCCTGGGCTTCCTGGAGACCAGAGGCCCCATGTGGCTGCAGAGCGCCTGGGACTTCATCGGCGTGGCACTGTGCTTCGCGCTGATCGTGCTGATCCTCGGCATCCCCATCGTCGGGTCCTACCAGGCAATCAGCACATTCGACTGGAAGGACTACGCGGACGTGGATAAGGTCGACCAGATGCAGAAAGCCTTGAACGCCATAGGCATCAACAACAAGACCTGGGATTTCGGCAAGCTAGTTGCCGACCATGAAAGCCAGGTGATGGATGTCGCGTCGGCGACCATCGGCGTTGGCTCCGACATAGTGCTGACGCTGCTGCTCTTCATATTTTCGCTGGCGGCGACACTTCCTGGAATCCACCAGGGGCGCCCGACACCTCCAGTGCGCGACCTCATGCGCCGATACTTGGTCTGGAAATCAGTGGCCACTCTGATCATCACGCTCGCTGTGGTTTTGACACTCTGCGCGATGAAAGTTCCGCTGGTGCCCGTCTGCGCCATGTTGACGTTCATCCTGAATTTTATACCGAACGTAGGCTCATTCTTTGCGATCCTGGCGCCGCTTCCGCTTGTGTACTTCAAGAAGCACAGCACGACTGCAGACTTGGTCCTGGCTGGGCTCGTACCGTTCTGCATCCACAACGTCCTCGGCTGCCTGCTGGAACCCCAGCTGATGGCACAGGGGCTAGAGCTGAACTCTCTGGTCGTGGTGATGGCCCTGACGTTCTGGGGATGCGTGTGGGGCATCCCCGGAGCCGTGCTGTCGGTGCCCATCACGTGCGCCATCAAGCTCACCCTGCGGGACGCCGAGAACCAGAACTACCTGGTCAAGGAGCTGCGGAGCCGCCTGGAGGACCCGCTCGGGCCCGGCGCGGAGTCCTTCGTCGCCGCGGCCCCCCTCGCCGGCATGCCCCAGTCGCCGCTGCCGCGGGTCGAGAGCGAGCTCTCCACGCCGCTGCGCGGGGACTCCGGCGCGCCCTGAGGAGGGGCGCCGCGGGGCCGCCGCGGAGGCGCCGTGCGCGCCTCCGCGCGCCGGCGGCGAGGCCGGCGGCCGGCGGGGAGGCCGGCGGGGAGGCCGCGGGCGGGCACGGCCGCGGGCGGGCACGGCCTGCCGCTGGGAGCGGCGGAGGAGCTGCGGCGCGCCTCGGCGATCGGCAGCGCTCGGGCGCGCGCGTGCCTCCTCGGCGGGGAGCGCCTCCGAGGAGCCCTCCCCGGCTCTCATCCTGGGGGAGGTCCACGCGCGAAGCCGATAAGCGTGCACGGGGAAGGGCCGTCCGGGCTCGACGGGGAGGGGAGGGGTACCCCATACCGCTGTAGGGTACCCTTCGCCCGTTCCCCCCCTACCTCGGGCCTGCGGTCCCGTCCCGGCCGCGCACCGAGTGGGTTGGGCGCGAAGTAATGGGGGCCCCCCAACGGGGTGGTGACCACGCCCTGCGGTGAGTCGGTGGGGATTCGGGGTCACCGCACGGTTTTTGGGACTTTGGTCGTTCTCCGCAGACGTCTCGGGCGACAGGGGCGTCCAGGGTCCCAAGAACGTGCGGTGACGGACCGTGCAGTGAGTTCTTAGGGGATTTCGGGGTCACCGCACGGTCTGTCACCGCACCGTTTCGGGACTCCAAAAAGCAAGGGGGGGGGGCGCCGGGAGCGCTAGATGGGGGGGAAGAGAGGGGCTCTTTTCGCCCTCTTCTGGGGCCACTTTCTGGGGCCCTTTAAAGGGCCCCCCTTCGCAGACCCCCTTGGGCAATGAAACAATCATGACGGGAGGTTTTCCCATATTTTCTGCATTTGGAGGCCCCTACCGGGCCTCGGGACCGTCAGAAAACAATTCAGGATGAAAAACCGGTCCAGGGAAATGGGTCGAGACCTCTCAGGGTCGACGTTCTGGAAAAATCATGACGTCGGGGGTCCGGGTTCAGGGGCCCTCGAGGGCCCCTTCTCTGCGGCCCTCGCGGCCCCCCCATGTATCGCCCCCCATTCATTCACGCCCGCGGGGTGGGTTCCATTTCCGTGATCCTCTCCTTGTTTGTAGCGGCCCACCCAGAAACGATGCCCAGGCGTGCAGTAGGGAGCAGGGAAGTAGATGATGAGCAGATTTCGAAGCACAGAGGCCAGCAATGGCGGTCGTACTGTCAGGTGTTTGGGCTTAGCGTGTCGCACCGCCGGTTCTGGGCCACTCTGTCTCGTCGCGACACGGTATCCACTTCCCAGTCCCCAGGCGTCAACGTCCCGAGCCTGTCTGACCTCCCGCCCCGCGGAGCGAAGCGACAGGCCATCCGCTCGGACAGCATACCGTGTCGCCTGGGCCGCCGCTGCGACACGCTAGCTGAGCCAAAAGGGTCCTGGCCGTAGACCCTTTTGCAGACCTCGTGGAGGCTTCTTGGAGCCTCGGAGGCTTTCTGGAGGCCTCTTGGATCAAAGGCCTCCCGGAGCACCCCCAGCCTCTGCCCTCGACCCTCAAGCCTCCACCTCTGCCCTCGAGCCTCGTTGGCCCCCCCAGCCTCCTGGGGGCGTGGCCCGCCCTCTTGGCCGTCAATAAGCGCGCCGCCGTTGAACACTCGGCGCGGGTCGGCTGCCCGTGCTCGCCGCAGAAGCCTCTGGGGGGGAGGAGGCGGGGTAGGGGAAGGGGGAGGAGGAGGAGGGGGTGGAGGAGG